ACGCCGTAACTGCTACTTTAAGGGTAACACATTCTTTCCCTTTCCTCCGCATCGTGCAACCTTTGTCGGAAAACCCTTCGTCGTGGGTATCCCCGGAAAAATTTCCGTAATACGACGTTGTCTCGCGCAATAGTTCGAGTACGTGCAACGCGAATCATACACTCGCGAATAACACGCCGCGACTGCGAACGGGACGTAACACTGACCAAGTCTGCAAAGCATATAAACCATTTAATTTTCAATTAATAAACATTATTATAATGTTATAATATGATATACTCGTACCTACTAAAAAATACCTAAACTATTATTTGCAATTATATTATATTTTATATTATTCTTGCATATGAATCAATGGCATGATGATAAAACCATCGTTGTAAGGAAATTTCACACATTTCCCTTTAATGTCGTGAATATTGACTGTGTACAAATCATATGACAAATGTTGTGTTTGCTGAATATTAAATAATTCTGAGGAACAAGGTGAACTGAAAAATGGTTTTGATTCAATGAATTTTCTTCCCTTTAAAAAGATTTCTGAAGTCTTGATTTCTTTATAAATACTTTCGACACAAAATACACAATTGTTTTTTAACATAACGCAATTATCTTTATCACATGTGCTTAGTTTAAACTTTTCAATGATTACTGTTTTGTAGAATATAAAATCTTGTTTATGAAATTGATCAGTACATTGCTGACGTAAAATTGGATACGTTTTTTCATTATCATTGTTTTGCATATATTCTTGTTCTTTAACCTATTACAAATTTGTTGTAAAGGATTTCTTGTAGCTTGAATTGTTTTTTTTATCTCAAATAAATAATTTTCATATTTAAAACAACTGAAAGTGTCAAGTGGACCATGTTGCAAGCAATCTATGGGCAAATGTATAAGGCCATGAACATTATGAGTAATATATTCTTTTCCGTAAAGTATTGCATATTTTTGAACAAAGTATTCGAGTAGTTTCAATGAATAATAATTATAAATTCTGTATAATGCAGGACTGCATAAAATTCGAATAGCGCAGGATAAGGCCATGAAATGTGTGTATATATTTTTGTTTGCAATCTTTTTTAAAACAATTGGTCCGGTGTATAATAAAAATTGCCTTAATTCAGTGGCTTTATAGTATTCAATGTCCTCTAAACTTCTTGGCAAGCGTGGAAAATCTTTCGGCACATAATTTTTCAAAAACAATAATTGATTATTAATATCATTTTTATCAGTCTCGGGTAAACGATGATTTTTTTTCCCTCTTATCCAAAACATAATTAATCTTTTAACTACGCCTAGAAATACAAGATGCATGCCATCGAGAGGAACTTGAGATACGAAACCAATATTTAGCTTTTCGAAAGGACTTGTATCTTTATGGAATTCCTCATCTAATTTATTTCTGATACTGAAATCAGTCCGCAATTGTGCATTTGTTTGTAAAAAAGTCACTCTTCCATTAACAAAGGTCCCTTCTTGAATGCATTTTGTGCAGGCATTATAGCCTGTATGACCTTTAATACATAAAATAAATGATTTTGCAGGAGCATCACAAAAAAGTTTACCAACCTTTACTTTTATTATTTTTTTATTTATGTTAAAACCATTTTGTTCTAAATGTTTGAACTCTGTCATAAACTCAGTTAAAAATTGGTCTACAGAGGCTGGTTTCTTGTGTCCGTGATATATCCCAGCCGCAAAAGGTTTTTTAATATTTTTATCAACCAGATTTAGATCTATGGAGATAAGAATAGGCCAGAGTTGACTTTTTGAAGAATTAGATATCGGTAAACCATCAATGTTTATGTTAAGAGGTAATACTATTTCTACATTTTGCATCAAATGTTTTTGCATATTTAAACTATAATTAATTATCCTACGTAGTCCATTCTCTATGCCAATGTGACAATAGAAACTTGGAGGAACACTTTTAAGTTCATATGGACATGAACTTGGTGTTTTTAAAAGAGTTCGCGAGTCTTTTGCTAATTGTGGAAATATCACTCGTAGAATACCCAACAATTCATTCATGGCAGATTGACTAAGCAAATGTCTGTATTTTAAAAACCATTGTTTCACAGCGTTAACTATGAAATCATTTACAATAGGGAGATTATTACATAAATTTTCAAATGATAAAGAAGTATCTGAACAGTTAATTTCTTCAATCACATCAATATATTCCAATGGTTCAATCTCAATTTTTTCTGGAATCTCGGAAATCACATTATCATGGTTTTCACATTGTTCTTGTTTTTCATTATGTTTCTTTGCAGTATCTACATTTATATTTGTAGTATTTACATTTATGACAGTATCTACATTTATAATTGTTTTTATGTTATTAGGCAAATTATTCGTCTGAATTAATTGTCGATTCAACTGCAAGATGTGTATTAATTCTTTTTTTACCATCCGTCTCATATGACGTTTTGTAACAAAACATTTTTTTATTTTAGCCATTATTGTTTTAATTTTTATGTCAGTATTGCTATTATTGACTTGATAAAAAAATCACTGAAAAAATTAAAATCATTCACATGAGATGCTCATATAGTTAATACGTAGTTTTTAAGATTTTATGGTATTTAACGTTATTAAAAGTTTAAAGTAAGTAAATTGGAAGGCCTACATTTGATAAATTTCAATCCAGCATCAGTTAAAGCAAACTCGAGAGCCATTGTAGAATATAATCGACTGAGATCTATATTCAAATCTGAACTGCCACAAATCAATCCGTCCGAGAAAAAGGTTGTGAAAATGTACGATCGTCGATGGGCTATCCCTAATATCATTGATGATGTGCAGAATTATGATTGTGAGGAACCAGAAAGTATAGTTACGTGGAAAATATATGGCCTTTGCAATAACGATGCTGTTTCGTGTTACGCTAATGTAATATTACAATGTGCGTTTCATTGCGTACGTATTAGGCAACAAATACTGAAAAATAAAGCATCGAATGCATTGACTGATGCTATCTGCGCGTATGGTGAACGTAAATATTGCAACATTCAAGCGGTTAGAAGATCTGTCGGAAAACGCTTCGAAGAACGAACACAACAAGATGTTTCGGAATTTTTACGGCTCTAATGTCGACGTATTCCGACATCAATGATGTATTAGAACTCGAATTAAAGCACGTAACATGTTGCTCAAATGTCAAATGTAATTACAATGTAACTAAGCTGGAAAGCAGTAGTTTGCTAATATTACCTATACATTCGACATTAAAAAGGAAAAAAGGTGTCACTCTACAAAGTTTGATTAATGTAGAATTTTCTAAATGGGAAACGATAAACGGCAATTGTAACGAATGTAAGGATACCGTGTTGAAAAAGAAAACCGTAATCGAATCAACTTTATCCGTCGTAGTAATACAGCTCAATTTATATACTTTTGTAAACGGTGCTTCTAAAAAAATTATCAACAATTGGATTAACGCCGTGCCGACGAGTAATATCACAATTAATGAAAAAAAGTACAAGGTAATAAGCGCTATATTTCACGAAGGTGGAGAAATAAATCGTGGTCATTACACGTGTATGTTGAGAGCTGACACAAAATCGGAATGGTATTAGTCTAATGATATAGAAGTGTTCAAGAAAAAATGGCCCAAAGGAGCACAAGGGGCATACATATTGTTCTTAGAACAGATTAAATAATGGCGCTGTATAAAGGCTGCCGTAAGCGCCGAAATGAAACATCGACTGCTCTGGCGCTGTATAAAGACTGCCGTAAGCGCCGAAATAAAACATAGGCTGCTTTGGCGCTGTATAAAGGCTGCCGTAAACGCTACATTAAAACATCAACTGTTCTAGCGCTGTATAAAAGTTGCCGTAAGCGCCAAAATAAAATATCGGCTGCTCTGGCGCTTTATAAAAACTGCTGTAAGCGCTGCGTTAAAACGAGTGCAATAAGTTTCTAATTTGACCTAGGCTTCATGACATTTCAAAAAGTATCATCCAGAAAAAAATTATCAGACAGAAATATGTATGTCGTGTTAAAATCGGAGAGACGAAGAAAAATATATGGTTGCGTTCTCACGAGAATGGGCGATGGAGGGGCTCATTCTTTATTTTCAATATTCATACAAGAATATAAATTCATTCTGTTGCAATTGAAATAAATGTGCAATGTATCGTTAAAAGTTATTACAATTATACAAACATTTACATATGTTTGAAACGCATAATAGAAAACTACATGTGTAATAAAATATTATATCTTAAATAGAATATTCTAGAATATTCGCTTCCGATCGCAAGTCAACAGGCATATCGTTTTTATATGTTTTTTTTTGGAAAACATATCGCGACACAAATTATCCTGTCGTACAAAAAACACGCTCGAAATATAAACAATTAACGGTGTCGCAACCGTTCCGCCGAATAATTATATTTTATTGAGCATGCGCGGCTTCTCACGGGCGCCTCGTTTCGCCAATAATCATCGTGATCGCCAGCTCGCGCATGCTTTCTAACAGCCGTTGTTCTATCAATTTTGACAGCGGCCAATTACGCGTAATACGCTCAGGTCACCTCGCGCAACTTTAAAAAGACGCAAAATTATTGGCGCTTCACACGAAGGTGGGTTCCGCTCCGGAAATTATAAAAGAGGAGCTCACACCCCGCTTGAGAGCTTTATCGCTTTTCCGTCGTGAAAACATATCGCAAACCGCTTATCAGATACACCGCAAAATTCGTTGTCGACTGCCGCTATTCCGCACTTTGATTTTGATTCCGATTTCGCTGTAAAATAATTAAGGTTTTGTAATAAGTTTGTTATAGTATTTTGTCAATACGTGTGTGATATTATTAAAGTCCTTGTTTTACAAAAACTGACTCAGCCTTTGTGCAGCGCGATCCCTTGCTCACGCAGCGCGTTCGTGAACATATTTTTGGTCCTTCGAGCCGGATCCGTCGCACCGGCAACCGCAAGTTCGCGAGCGTGACTTCTCGCGCAGTGACAACAGTGCAGTTTCGTGTGCAGTCATCATGGATGTACCCACGCTGGTTGACTGTCAGCGTGAGCTTCAAGTCCGCATCTCACGTTCTGTGGAGTACTTGAAGAAGCTGGGCAGCTCCAATATCACCGCCAGTGCTATCTCCACACGCACCAGAATTCTGGATCAGCTGTGGACAAAGTTCGAGGCGCAGCATGACCTTATCCGTGCGGCCTTGAAGGAAAAGTTCAGTGAGAGCGAGTACTTTAAATCAGAGTTGCATGCTGATACGGAGAATCTTTACGTGTCACAAAGAAGCATACTAGACAGCTACGCTGAACACTTTCGTGCAACAAACGTACCTCCTTCTGTCGACGCCACGTCAAGGTCATCACTGCCGCGTATCAAAGTGCCGCCATTTTCTGGTGCCTACGCCGATTGGCCGTCGTTCCGAGATCTCTTTCTCTCCGTCGTGAGTGGCAATGCGATCTCCAACGTCGAGCGCTTTCACCACCTGCGCTCATGTCTGACGGGGCAAGCTGAAAGGTTAATAAGGTCATTGCCTGTCACCAGCGACAATTACGATCGCGCTTGGGCGACTCTGGACAAACACTACAACAACAAAAAGGAATTGATCCGCTCCAACTTCGCCACGTTCATCGCCGTGCCGAAGATGAAGGGAGATACCGCAGAAGAATTGAGACGCATTCACAACGCCGTTACTGCCGCCGTCAATGGTCAGGAGAGCATCGGACGTCAATCAACACCCACGGAATGGACCTCTTCAACTTCCTGGTCACCGAGCTGTTTGATGCACGCACACGTCTTGAGTGGGAGTCGTCCACGTCAGACTCATCAGAGCCGGCACAAAACGAGGCACTGGTGGACTTCATCAGCCGACGGATCCTGACGCTCAATGCCGCACGACCGAAGAGCGCCAGCAAACCGCCCGGAGATGCTCCACGGGTAGCCAAGGCACACGTCACGAAGCACCAAGGAACCGAGTCGCCGCACTGTGCACTGTGTCGCGAGAAGCACACCTTGATGACCTGCCGAGATTTCAAGGCCAAGACTGTCAACGACCGCAAGGCATTTGTCGAGAGTAACAGGCTCTGTTACAATTGCTTAGGCAACCATTTTCTCTCTCGCTGCCAGTCAAAGAAGAACTGTCTGACATGCGACGCACGACACCACACGATGTTACACGGAGCACCCACATCGTCAGCGTCAACTGAAGCCACACGCGCCACCACACTGACCGCTACGCTGCAAAATCCAGTGTGCAAGGCCGTTCTTCTTGCAACAGCACGAATAAACATCGCCGATCGGTACGGATCACCACACGCCGTACGCGCTTTGATCGACCAATGTTCTGAGGTGTCGATCATTTCGGAGACCTTGGCACAACGTCTTCGCCTTCCTCGAGTCTCAACAGGCCTCTCCATTTTCAGCATCGGAGGGACTCGCTCGGGATCCGCTCGTGGCAAGGTCACGCTGCACGTAACGTCAGACGTGACCAACGCCAAACTCAGCGTGGTGGCCTTTGTGCTGCCCCGCATATCGCTGCAGCAAGGCTCGGTCTCGCGGGAAGAACGCAGCTGGCCTCATCTCAACGGACTCCAACTGGCCGATCCTCGCTTCTTAGACGACGACCCAGCTGAGCTGCTACTGGGAGCCGAGGTCTATTCCTTGATCCTCGAGGAAGGCCTCCGCAAGGGTGAATCAAGGATGCCGATCGCTCAGCAAACCAGCCTGGGATGGATCCTTTCTGGCGGCTACGACGCAGCAGCAGTCAAGGGACATCGCCGCACCTTCCGGTGCACCGCCGATCATGACCTCGCCGACTTCGTTCGACGCTTCTGGGAGCAGGAGAGCGAGCCGATAACTCGGGCTTCACTCACTCCCGACGAGACCACGTGCGAGGAACTCTACGTGCGCACCGTCACGCGCACGCCCACCGGGAGATACATGGTGAGGCTGCCCTTCTCATCGCCGCCGACGACTCTTCAGGATACTCGCCGCCCAGCGGAGCACCTACTGAAAGCCATGGAGACCAAGGGCAGCCGAGATCTTCGATTTGGCGACCTCTATCACGGCTTCATGCAGGAATACGAGGACCTGCAACACATGAAGAAGGTAAATACCTCAACAACAACGGAGAATTTCAGATGCTACTTACCGCATCACGGGGTCCTGAAGGAATCGAGCACGACGACAAAGCTCCGAGTCGTGTTCAACGGCTCTCAGCGCACACGGGCCGGTACTTCGCTCAACTCGCAGCTGCTGACTGGGGCAAACCTTCTGCCAGCGCTCACCGACGTGTTGCTGCGATGGCGTTGGCACCGGTACGTCTTCGTCACCGACATCGAGAAGATGTACCGCCAAATCCTCGTACATCCTGAGGACTGCCGTCTCCAAACAATCTTGTGGCGTCACAACAAGACGGACGAGATCGGAGAGTACGAGCTGCAGACGGTGACCTACGGCATGGCGTGTGCACCGTTCCTGGCCATCCGAACTCTGCAACAACTTTGTGCGGACGAGGGAGCGCAGTTTCCTCAAGGTGCCACAGTACTTCGGCTTGATTGCTACGTCGACGACGTGGTCACCGGCGCGGACAACCTCGACGATGCCGTCAACCTCCAGACGGAGCTGCGCAACCTCTGCATGGCGGGCGGATTTCCACTGAGGAAGTGGGCCTCGAACCATCCAGAGGTCCTCACAGGAGTCCCACAGGAGCATCGGCTGCAGCAAGGACCACATTCCTGGGAAGGAGAGAGCCATTCGACATTGGGCCTGCGATGGCGTCCTCAAGATGACCGGTTTGCCTTCGCAATACATCCTCGGCCAGTCAGCAATTTACGAAGCGACGAGTCCTCTCCGAAACTGCACGCCTATTCGACCCGATGGGCTGGCTCGCGCCTGTCGTCATTCGGGCGAAGATCCTAATCCAAAGCACCTGGCTTCAGCAACTTGATTGGGACGCTCCACTGCCGGCCAAGGATGCTCGACATTGGCAACAGCTGTTGGATCAGTTGCCGCTGCTCAGGCACATACGCGTGAATCGCTGGCTCAGCACCGACAACGATCACTCGAGGTTGCAGCTCCACGGTTTTGCTGATGCTTCCGAACGAGGATACGCCGCAGTAGTCTACCTCCGCACCACTGAAAGGGGAAAACCGTCAATTAATCTACTCATGGCGAAATCCAAGGTCGCACCCGTCAAGCAGGTTTCGTTGCCGCGACTTGAGTTGTGCGCTGCTAGCCTACTCACCACGCTCACGCTGCATGTCCGCGACATTCTCGGCTTGGCAACTACTCCAGTATATCTGTGGTCCGATTCCCAGGTCACGCTTCATTGGATCCAGGGACACGCCACTCGCTGGAAAACTTTCGTCGCCAACCGGGTAGCTCATATCCAGACACAGCTCCCGGACGCTCGATGGAGACACGTAGCCGGGAAGAATAATCCTGCAGACTGCGCATCGAGAGGAATTACTCCTGGAGAATTAATCAACCACGCATTATGGTGGACTGGACCTACCTGGTTGGCACTGGACGAGACAGCATGGCCCAGCTCAGAGGTCCACATCGCAGAGGATGACCTTCCTGAACAGCGCACCACCAGCCTGATGACCAAGGGCTCCGTCGTCGTCGAACCGGACATCCTTCTTCGGTTCTCTGCGCTTCATCGGCTGCTACGCGTTACGGCTTGGTGTCGTCGATGGCTCAACGTGGCGAGCCGGGAGGTCACACCTGGTTGTCCACTACACCCCGACGAGCTGGACGCCGCCCTACTCCAGTGGCTTCGAGTAGTACAGGCGCTCCACTTCCCGGACGAGATAGCTGCTGCCACCGCAGGACGCTCCGGCCCACCACGCAGTTCACTGATCAAGCTGAATCCGTTCATCGACGACCAAGGTGTACTGCGCGTTGGAGGACGTCTCAAACACGCACTGCTGCCCTACGACGAGAAGCACCCGGTGATCATACCGCCGGCCTCCTGGATGACGCGACTGCTGATCGAGTCCTGCCATCGTCGCTCTCTGCACGGCGGCGTCCAGATGACACTCGGTCTGCTTCGCCTTCGATTCTGGGTACCACGCGGAAGGACCGTCGTCAAGCAGCAACTGCATCGGTGCGTCACTTGCACTCGCTGGCGCGCTGCCACGCCACAGCCTCCAATGGGCCACCTTCCTCGGGACCGAGTGACGCCAACTCGACCTTTCTTGAGCACTGGACTGGACTACGCGGGACCAATTTCCATCCGGACCAGCAAAGGACGCGGACACCGCTCACAGAAAGGATACATCGCGGTCTTCGTCTGCTTTTGGTCGAAGGCCATCCACCTCGAGGTCGTCTCGGATTACAGCTCCGAGGCCTTCATCGCCGCCTTACGCCGCTTCGTCTCTCGCAGAGGACTGTGTACGGACGTCTACAGCGACTGCGGCACAACATTCGTTGGCGCCGATCGCACCCTGCGGGAGCTCTTCAAGGCGTCGACCTCCGAGGGCCTTCACATCGCCCGCGCCGCCAACACTCAAGGGATCCGCTGGCATTTTAATCCGCCAGCGGCCCCTCACTTCGGTGGTCTTTGGGAGGCTGCCGTGAAATCCACGAAATTTCACCTCCGCCGAGTAATCGGCGACACCACGCTCACTTTTGAGGAGCTTAGCACACTCCTCACACAAATCGAGGCGTGTCTTAATTCTCGTCCGTTGCAGGCTCTGTCAGACGATCCAGACGACACTTCAGCACTCACTCCAGGGCACTTCATCATCGGCGCGCCTCTATTAGCTATACCTGAGCCGTCACGGATCGGACAATCATCATCCACGCTGTCACGCTGGCATCACCTGCAGCTGATGCGAGACCATTTTTGGCAGCGGTGGTCGGCTGAGTACGTGCACGGGCTCAACCCCCGCACCAAATGGGTCAAGGCCGAGGCCGCACCTCACGTCGGGGACCTTTGCATCATCCGCTCGGAGCTCACCCCTCCGACTCGATGGCCTCTTGCAAGGATCACGAGACTGCATCCCGGGGACGACGGTGTCGTCCGCGTGGTCTCAGTACGCACCGCCACATCCGAATTCGTACGCCCGATCGTTAAATTGGTCATGCTCCCGGGCGCGGATCGTATTCCGGACACGAATAACGCGGACACGCCGTCCGCCGGCACGTAACACATCACTCATCAACGTTCGACACTCATTCACGAGATTTATCACATCATGCACTGTATCATTTGTCACACCTCATTCTCATCATGCACCACCGCACTTGCAATTGTTCCATAATCACCACACTGCACTACACGTTCGTCATTTCACATCAAACACACACTCGTTACTGTCTCAGCTGATCATCACATTCCACGCGATCACCACGTGTTTCCGCGGCTCAGCTGATCGATTCAAATTACACGCGATCATCACGTGAATCTCGCCGCGCCGGCGCGCCTGCCCCACCATCGATCACTATCGACTTGCGATTCCGCGACCGAAATACCACAAACATGTTGTCACTGCGCGACAAGGCGGGCGGGAATGTTTGAAACGCATAATAGAAAACTACATGTGTAATAAAATATTATATCTTAAATAGAATATTCTAGAATATTCGCTTCCGATCGCAAGTCAACAGGCATATCGTTTTTATATGTTTTTTTTGGAAAACATATCGCGACACAAATTATCCTGTCGTACAAAAACACGCTCGAAATATAAACAATTAACGGTGTCGCAACCGTTCCGCCGAATAATTATATTTTATTGAGCATGCGCGGCTTCTCACGGGCGCCTCGTTTCGCCAATAATCATCGTGATCGCCAGCTCGCGCATGCTTTCTAACAGCCGTTGTTCTGTCAATTTTGACAGCGGCCAATTACGCGTAATACGCTCAGGTCACCTCGCGCAACTTTAAAAAGACGCAAAATTATTGGCGCTTCACACGAAGGTGGGTTCCGCTCCGGAAATTATAAAAGAGGAGCTCACACCCCGCTTGAGAGCTTTATCGCTTTTCCGTCGTGAAAACATATCGCAAACCGCTTATCAGATACACCGCAAAATTCGTTGTCGACCGCCGCTATTCCGCACTTTGATTTTGATTCCGATTTCACTGTAAAATAATTAAGGTTTTGTAATAAGTTTGTTATAGTATTTTTGTCAATACGTGTGTGATATTATTAAAGTCCTTGTTTTACAAAAATGACTCAGCCTTTGTGCAGCGCGATCCCTTGCTCACGCAGCGCGTTCGTGAACAACATATATAATTAAATAAAATATATATGTATACTATAATATAATTATATATTTTATATATGTACATATATACCATATATTTCAATTATTTTGAACTGTATTGCATAAATTGTTACTTATACAAAGTTATGTGATAAGAATCAAAAATACATATATTTGTGATACTTGAATTACTAGAAAGTTGCTCTATTTATCTGTACTTTAAAAAGTAAGTGATATCCTAAAAAAATCATAAAAATGAAGGTCAGGCCATGTTCAAAAGAAGGTACTCAATAATTTAAACGATCTAATAATAAATTATCACGAAAAGTAACTGATATGTTATTCAAGGTGCCAGTTTAAAGTGAACATACGTAAAGTGTATATTATCTAAATTTAGTAATAATATATTACCATGAAAAGTAACTGTGATATTTTATTCAAGGTGCAAGTTCACATTGAATATACATACATATAAGTAAAACTGATTACAATTTGATTCTAGAAAATAAGTGCGATATGTTATTCTTAGTGCACAAAATATAATAGTCGTTTATAGAGATTTGATTTGAAATTCATACTAGCCCGTACAATGAAAAATAATTGCTCGTAATTCCAGAGTACCAATTTGTTAATGACTCAGAAAAATAACATATCGCACTTATTTTCTAGAATCAAATTGTAATCAGTTTTACTTATATGTATGTATATTCAATGTAAACTTGCACCTTGAATAAAATATCACAGTTACTTTTCATGGTAATATATTATTACTAAATTTAGATAATATACACTTTACGTATGTTCACTTTGAACTGGCACCTTGAATAACATATCAGTTACTTTTCGTGATAATTTATTATTAGATCGTTTAAATTTTTGAGTACCTTCTTTTGAACATGGCCTGACCTTTTCATTTTTATGATTTTTTTAGGATATAGCTATGCTCATAATTTCAGACATTAATTTTAAAATTTTTTCCGGGGCGCAGAATACATGGACTATTTTCTTTTTGTAATGGAAGAATGTAGAATGTAGAATGTAGAATCAATCTCAAATTTACTTATGATTAGATTTTTATACATTCGGCTAAGATACATATATCTCTTGTTGATCTGGTATTAGTAAGGATGGCGTATTTTAAGATATCATTAAATTTCACGGATGTAACTGTATGAATTATTATATTTACTCTTTCAATCAGCATTTGTCTATCGGCAGCGGATGAACCTAAATTTTCTTGACTGGTATCGCCAGAAATTGGAATTAATTTCTTAAAATTTAAAGGCTGCTCTTTCTTGTAATTTGTTGTACAACTGAAATAAAAAAATGTTACGTGTATATAGTTTTTATTAAAATATTTGGCATAATGTTTAACTGTAAAATATTTTTACGAAAAAGTTATGAAATATTTTTCAATCACTTTATCTAAATTCATATAACTACTCTTAGTGTTTCACATTTTATACCTTAATAAATAATAAAAAATAATTATATATAAATAATGATAAAAAAAATAATAATAAAATAATCTAATAAAAATAAAAAAAAAAAAAAAAAACAAAATAATGAAAATAATAAAAAAATATAACAATTCTTAAGGAAATGATTAGTATGTTACAAAAGATATCTTTTGTGATAAATTAATAACTTACCGGTAAGTTTAATATTTCCTCGAGTCTTTCGTTAAGATTCAATCTTTTTTTTGGACGCATCAATATCAGGAGACGCGGTAGTGTCTCCGGCCATGTTCAAACCCTACAAGACCTTAAAAGACACTACAAGTCTCCTTATCCTGCACCATCAAAGTCCATTTTTTGGGGGTGTAAACTACTAAAATATAAAAAATTTTGAATTGCACGTAATATAACCTGAAAGGCGGCATCGCCACGAGTAATTTGAGCCAAGAAAAAATAAAATCAGTCAAGCCGTTCTGGAGATACAAGCGGTCAAAAAGTGACGTTTTTCATGAAAAATGAAGTAACGTCGTCTTCTTCTTCTTCTTCTTCTTCTTCTTCTTCTTCTTCCGCGTATAAATCTCTTCTCACCTTTCACTCACACCTCCCTCAACTTCCACCCACCCCTTCCCTCCCACATCCCGCCCCAACCCCACCCCACCCACCACCCCACCCCTACTCCCACCCTCTTTCGTCCTCTCTCACCCTCTTTCATTCTTTCTTACCCTCTTTTACCCTCTTTTGTTCTCTTTACCTTCTTTTACTCTCTTTCGTCCTCTCTCACCCTCTTTCATTCTTTCTCACCCTCTTTCGCCCTCTTCATCCTCTTTCGGCCTCTTTCACACTCTTTCGTCCTCTCTCACCCTCTTTCGTCCTCTTTCACCCTCTTTCGTTCTCTCTCACCCTCTTTCGACCTCTTTCGTCCTCTTTCACCCTCTTTCGTCCTCTCTCACCCTCTCTCACCTCTTTCACCCTCGTACGTCCTTTCTCACCCTCTTTCGTTCTCTTTTACCCTCTTTCGCCTATCTCGTCTTCTCTTACCCTCATTCGTCCTCTCTCACCCTATCTCCAAAAAATCATAAAAATGAAAAGGTCAAGCCATGTTCAAAAGAAGGTCCTCAAAAATTTAAACCTAGTCTGTACAATGAAAAATAATTACTCGTAATTCCAGAGTTCCAATTTGTTAATATCGAATAATGTATTTGTTTCAAGTAATGGCAGTAGAGTCAAATACATACCTACGTATATGCAGTTTTTGCTGTTAATTGTACTTGAACGAAAAAAATAATTAAATGATTTAAATATAGCACATTTTAAATCAAGAAACTTATATAATCGAACTCTGTTTAGGAAAAGGTAGAACATTTCATTTGCCTCTGTCTTTACAAGAAACATTGGATAAGGTATGTCCTCCGGAAGATCCTATAAATTTAAATCACGAGTTGCACATTTTCGTTCGAGGTATACCCAAGAAATCTAAAGTGGTTTGGGAAAATTTGGTAGATATTAATAAAATGTATAGGGCTTTACAATGGTTGAAAGAAAATAATCCTCATTACTCAAAAATTCGTCTTCCAGCGTCATCTGATGATCTATTAAAGGATAAGTTGCAGGAAACAGAATATAGGATTGTCGATGAGAAAAGCGACAATGACGAAATAAATGAGGTGGTTGAGGAATTACCAGCATTGAATTTGTACAATGTACAGCAAAACAAAAATAATAATGATCAAACCGTTTTAAAACGTACGGCTTTTCTCACACAAATCACTGAACATTCGGATATTAACGATCAGTATACAATATACCCAATACACGCGAAAAGAATCGATAACGAATCTGCATTGAAGCTTTATCAAATGGTGAAAATTGAAGATTTTCCAATGGATAATCGTTATAAATATCTGGATGTCATGTGTTTCCCTGATTTATATCCTGATGGTGTCAATGGACAACGAGAAGATAGAAACTTTGCATTGCCGGAATATTTATTTATTAGAACACGATTGATGTCGAAACATAGTAGATTCAGGTTGAATCTGCAGTATCTGTTCTTCCTTCTCAATGATGCTAACTACCGACAGTTGAAAAGTGGTATCTATTATACGATGATGGTTACTAACCCACGAGAGAGATACACTGCTGGTAGATACTTGAACGAATTGAAAGGTTACGAATTAGAATCGAATTTAATGAGTATTTTCGCAAAATTGAGAAATACGGATCAATTTTGGCGACAACCGTCCAATAATGTAAAATGCATGACTTTGCATTACGGTCCAGCGACGTGGTTTTTGACTTTGAGTCCTAGTGAATGGAAATGGTCCGATTTGGGTGAATATTTACGAGATATGAATCCCGATAAAGAGAAGTTAGGCATCAGCGAACTAATCGCATACGATCCTGTAAGTACTTCTAGATTCATGTGCATAAAATTCAAAGCCATGATTGATTTTATTTGTTCGTCCGATAATCCAATAGGAAAGG